TGGCCACCAAGCTGCTCACTCTTGACTATCCCAGTGAAAAAACAATACCCAGCTGCATGGACTTCAAAGGGCACCGCACAGAGAAAGGAACTAGGGACGCATGGTATAGAAACACGAGAAAAACTGGAAAAAGTTTCCAGTTTGACATCAAGTCTTATCCATAGACATCCTGTAGATGTCAAGTCTTGATAATCAAGACAAAAGATAGAGAAAACAGAACGAAGTGGAGCTGTGCGGCTAAGAAGGATCTTTACTAGAAGGATGATTTAGATGGAGGAGAGGAAAAACGAGACATTTTACCAAATGTATATGTTAGGCTTTGCCAAGGGAGAGAAAGCAAGGAAAGTTTGAAAGAGAAACATAGTGCTTATTGGTCTGCTTAACTAAAACAAAAACAAATAAATATATAAATAAAGCTGAATAGCTTTTGTGATAGAAGTGAGAGAAGCAAGCATTGGTTTATTTTAATGGACAGCTTCCTCAAATAGGGAAGGTTTTTACAGGGAAAGAGAACACAAGTAGGTAGCTGTTAGAATATAAACACAAAATTTTCAGATCATGTAAAAATATCTTAAACAAATGAAAGTTAATACTTTATAATCAAGATAATACTTTAACTATACTGAGATTGGGATTGGAATCAAATCATTTTAATACAGCCAAAAACATTAGAATCATATCTTGCTGCTTAAATGCAGACTTCAATCTTTAAATATCATCTCAGATGTAAGAAATAAATTAGGAATATAAAAGAATATTATGAAAATCATGGATACTACACACAATACTTAAATTGTAAGAGAAGTTTTCAAGCTATGATGAGTAGGTTTTGGTCATTTATTGAATACTTGCTGGTTGTTCAGCCAAATCCTCTGGTCCTCTGTGCTTATTAAACTACATTAACTTTCTTCAGAAAGAAAAAGAAAAAAAATTACTGTAGTTGATGCTCAGGTAACATTACAGAGAGGTACTTAGTATCTATGTGACTGAACATGCCAGGCACCACATGTCATAACATACTCTGTATGAAAGTCCACACTATAAAGTGTGAGAATATATGAGCTTTATTGCTTATTCCTTTCCTGTAAGGACATCAATGAAGAAATCCCTAATTAAAGGATAAGATGAAATTTCAAGCAAAAAAAAACCAAAAAAATCCAATTCAAAACTATTATCTTCTTATAGAAGATTCTTTGTTTACTAAAATTCTAGAGCAATATTTATACTCTCCATAAAAAAATGAATATTGCTCTTCTAGCAACTTAAAAAGCACATGTTTTTACAATTAGGCCTGGCATTCTTTCCATTTTGGAAAACAGAAAGATTAAGGAAGTTAGAAAAATCATCCTGAAGACTAAGAGAACTTGGGCACAATTGCTATGGAATAGGAAGATCCTGAAGGGACCTAATAACAATCTTTCAATGCTGTAACAGGTATAAGGAGGAGGTATTACTTGCCACATCTCCCTTCTCTATTAGGATCACAAGAAACTGGTGTGATTGCAAGTAAGACAATAAACAAAATTTTAGAAAAAAAAAACCCTATAAGGCCAATCTGCCATGTAAATTATTAACAGAGATTGTTCAGCCTTGTGCAAGGTGCAGTTTAGATAAGCATCTGTCAAGGATATTCTAGATACATTTCTTTAGCCTCAACATAGAGGGGAACAATCATATAGTTGGACTGCTTTCTGGCTCTACATTTGTAGAAATGTTCAATACAACTCTATTCACAGGAAAACATTTGCAAATCCTATTTCCTGAACACAATATAATCCCATATTTCCTTATCATTTCAGATCTGAAGACTCAGTTAGACCTCAGAAAATGACCACCTTGGGCATTGCATGGCACAAGCATTTCAAAGGCGTTGTACTTACAGTTACTGATTTACCAGTTAAATAATAGTTTTATATTATTCAAGCACTAGAGAAACAAGTGACAAAGCACAATTACAAAGTTTTAAAGGAAAAAAAGATAGAATAATTGAAGCTTAGCTAAAAATGAAAAATAGGCAGAGGAGACAAAGAAGGAGAAGTGATGGTTGAGAGAAAGACAAAGATATAACATAAAGGTAAAAAAACCTTACTATGAAAAAGGTTCATTTTTTTTCCCCCAAGAAACAGAGCATTGACTTGACACAAATGCCACTTGTAAGACACATTTATACACCAAGAACTACAGGAACAGCAGGATCACATTGTGGACAGAGTAGCTGAGGCACCCAACATATGGGTGGGTGATGTGATACTACAAACAGCTACATCTGACATTGCTTAAGGTTATCAAAGCAATCCTGCAAAACTCACTGATACTATAAGAAACCTTGAAAAGCTACACAATCCACTCACTGCAGGTTAATAAGGATTTATACCATGAATTCTCCCATCCATTAAACTGAGTACATGGCAACCTGGGTGGTCTATAGCACTTTCTGCAGCACTTGCCTGGCTTTGACTCACATTGTTGGTTGACACAGTTTCCCAAGGTCCTCACCTTGCCCCAGCTCCAGCCATTTGAACCTTGCCAAAGGCAACACAGAGCAAGATATGGCCTGATGTGCATCTCATGTAGCCAATCATTCTGATTAACTCTTAATCATCCTTGTAAGAGCATTTTACATCAGAGAAACCTCACATCCCTCCATAACCTCCTCCTTCAGAGAGAGAGAAAACAACATGCTGTAATCATTTATAATTTTTATGCTCTATTCTGATTCTGTTCATCTAAATTTTTCATAAAATGTGCTACCCTTTTTTTTCAACTGAAGTTTCCTCATGTAGAAAGGAGTAATTCTGTTTCTACGTTCAAGTCACGTGGCAATATCCCCAAATTGTAATTTGCCTCTTTAATAGGATCATACTACTAACTTGTATTTGTCTGCTTATCTAGTGTAACCCCACAGATCTTCTCCTGCAGTAAAGCTATGTAAGGAATTATTTAAGTTTAATTTGTTTGTCTGATTTTTATTTGATAAAGTCCTCTGCGGTCTTTACAGAATTTTAACTTACTGACTTCACATGGCTCCTTTAACTCCAGATCACTCAAGTTATTGCTGTCTTTCAGAGTATTTGAGACTACTTCTAACTGTTGTAAATCTATAATTTCAATGTTCATATTCCATCACTGCAATTAAAAAAATAATGTATAAAACCAGATCTAACAGAGACCGCAGCATATCTCAGACATATATTCTTGGATTGACTACAAGTATTGATAGCTGGTTTCTAAATGCACTTTTTCAGCTATTTAACACTTAGTTAGTCAACATTTGTTTCAACTTAGTTTCAGCCAATTTCTCTAGATTTCAAGGTATATCCTCCTGAATATTTTGGATGTAACTTTTAAAAATCGCGGTTGCTGTCACAGCTCAGCAATGCAGGAAGGATCCTAGGCACTTCTCAAAAAACACAAGCAGCTAACAGAAAAAAAAAAATGGATGTTTTAAAAGCCTTGGTAAAATCCTTATTCAACAATCCGTGAACTTCCAAAGTATAAAGGACATCCTGCTAGAAAGCAAGTTCTTAAATACTATGCATTTCCAAGCCCAGGGAACAAATATTTCTTGCTATACAGTGTCTTGTCCTATAAATAAAGCAATTTCTTAATAATAAATATAACACATCTTTGGTCCTAACTCCACCCTCTTCCCAAATCTATGTTCTCTCAACAGTTAATGAGAAAATGCATAATGTAAGGACATTTCATTCAGTCTTTTCTCTAGGCTCCAGGCTAAACTCCCGGTGAAAATAAAAAAGTTATATCAAGTTTTAAAACACAGTTTCTTTAAACGATATCTTCTTTTGACAGCCTGAAGTGTTAGCCCAGTTAGGTCACCATTTCTTAATTAGGTGATTTGCTATTTAAAAGGACTTCACACTACAGTCAGCAATTCTGAAAATGGCCTTTTTTGGAATCTGTATTTGTGTTACAGATTTTAATGCTTTTTAATGTAAATCATGGCCAAAGGGCATTTTATGTATGGCTGAAACAGTTTATGTTGGGTGGGACATAGCTATACCAAGTCTCAAGCAGCTGCTTACAAGTGCTTAACTTTTCACTACTCACCATATGTAACCTTTTAACTCTGATCCACATTTAATCAATATGTAGCTATTTGTCAAATTTTTTATGTTTCGTTTGGAATGTACTTTTTCTTAGTGTTTTATTTATCTATCATCTGTTTATTTATTTACTTTTATTTGAGAACTAGTATAAATGTCTACCTGTACCACCATGTGAAAAAACAGTCTAATACGTCACTCATGTCTTCTTGGTATTTTCTCTTTATGTAATAGAAAACAGTGGGTTTCATTATTTTTTTTTAATTTTAATTTTAATGTGTACAATATGGAAAGCATGAACAGACTGTTCTCTCAAGCTCCCTCACCAAGAGCAGTATTTCTTCTGAGTCATTTATACTTCTTAGAAATTTTACCCTCTTCCTATCAGAATTAGTCATAACCAAAGTGAGCGTAGTCCCACGTATATTTTATGGAGAAATAAAATCTTGCAAAGAAACAAAAGCAACAAAAATATAAATCCAATTTGCTACTTATTATGGCTCACAACTTCAATGAATTGAAGTTCAACTCTTCAACTCAACAACTTTTCATATGAATTTCAAAATCGATTTCCAGATAGGGCCATAGCATAACACAGAAATTAATTAAATAGAAGAGTTTCTGTCACATAACAGTCTGAAATCACTTTACCAAAGCATTTCAGCTAGCACAAGCAACGATGGCTGTACACACATTAAAAACAAAAACAATAAAAAAACGCCAAAACTCCCCCAAATCACAGAAACTCTACTGAAAATATGCAGCAGCAGAATTGTAAATTGTAAAAATTCCAGATTATTCTATAATTTCTGACAGGAAATGGAAAAGTATTATCTGGCTATTCATATAAGACTAACTCCAAACACAACAAAACGTACATTATTCTTAATTATAATATACATGTTTTGAATTACAAACATATAGTTCACGTCTTACTTGGCATGCCGGCAGTTTGTGGAGTGGTTGTCTCTGTACTTAAGGAAAGGCGACCACCTTTGGCCAATCTTTCACAGAGGACAGTGATATGTTTCTTCAGCCTACTAGTATCTTTAGGTATGCACAACTCGCTGGTGAGAGTCATGGCCTGCTCCTTAGAGCTCTTGGACAAACAAGTTCTTAGTAAGTAAGAAATGGCAGCATCCACAGTTTCTTCCCAGCCCTGCATTAAAGAAAAGAAAATGAGTTAAAATCATGTGAACTGTAATGTGTTGCCACATCCTAAAAACAAGGTAACGAATCAGAGACTAAAACTTTCAAACAGCATTGATACATAAAACAGGGTTAATGAAAGGTAGAAAAGCACTTTAGTAAGTGGTATAAAGGCAAGGTATAAGGTATAAAGGCACAAAGTACAAGTAAAAAGAAAATATTCCTAGTCAAGCTAGAAAAAAAAGTTCCAACATTTCTAGGATCAATCTGAGAAATAAAATTTAAATTAAAATCATGAACAGGATGAGACAGAAATAAATTCAATGGACTTCTTAATAAGTAAAAAATGGAATTTCCTGGTTGCGACCTTTGGAATTCAACATGGAACTATGAACTTAATACTAACATTATAATATATACTGTATATTACATATATGAATAGACTTGTATATAAATATACAGAAGGCACTAGGGCCAGGAAAAAAAACATTCAATTATATGTCCTGTGGCCAATTATACAGAGTTGTGAGAGTCCACTATTAACTGAATAATGTCTATGAATTTCTTCTATGAGATACACATGAATTTTGTGATGGGTAAGGCACAATGTTGGACAATTACAGAAACTGACTTCCTGACTTTGTTGTCAGCACCTATGGGTGAGTTCGAAAAAGACCCTTACGAGTGTTCTGGTACTCACATCATATGGACTTTATCATGGTACAAACACTGTAATTAATGAATCATATCCAGAAAATGTGCTTTACGTACATAAAATGTTTCAATTTGCAGAGGAACAGTATCAACCACTAGAATTTTCTTTATCAACATTTGCCATTTCTCATTCACAGTAGTGACCACCATAACCTATTGTCTTATTTGTCTTTTGTCTATCTGATTAAAGAAAAAAATAGGCAAATTTGGAAAAACGATTCCAAGCAAAGTGGCATCTTTGACCATCCACTGACCTGTGATGATGGTAGGAAATAATCTATTCTGCAGCCAATTTAAGGAGGTTAATGAGCTGGTAAATTCTGTCTACATTCCCACATGGTGGGCAATGAAACTTAATATGTACAAGGCATCAAAAACACTCAAGCCAGTCTCTCCTGACTATGTAACAAACCATGAGAAATAATGCAACATAAATCTGAGAATCTTGAGTTTCATTAAAAGACAAAGAAACACATAGTTAACTTGTGTCAGTACACAGTGGCTGAAAAGCTGGCTAAAATATCCATGCAAAAATTATAAAAATACAGGTGAAAGGATTATTTAAATATGAAGACTGAAATACAAACTAACAAAAGTCAGGAAATTAAAAGTGGCTAGTGTTCTGTCCTTGGCTCACACAGGTATGTTTTACTTTGTACCACGGCCTTAACGTTTTCCAAACCTAGTTCTTGTATTTAATTTCCATGTAAAACACTTTTTTCAGTAGACCATAAAACTATTTTCTCCAATTCGAGAACTGTTGACCTAAAAGATCCGCTCCAATCCAAAGCAGTCTTTATGATTAATCAAAGAGTACACAAAAGCTACCTCTATATGAAAAAAAATCTTGATGAAAACCATGTTAAGTTACACAACTGAAAACTAGTTGCTTCAAATAAGACTGCCTTTGTCAGCAATTTTATACTGCTACAAGAAAGGGTAGCTTTGAAGAAAAGACAGAAGTTCTTCATGCTTTTTGTGTTAAAAGGGTAAAGAAGATGTGTTTCAAAATGTCAACGGTCTATAGTCCATACTGAAGACCGATTCTAGTCACAGCCACAATATTGGTTTCTGACTTGTGTAGTATTCTGTGGGCTGAAGGCAGCACTTTTGAGGTGTGATAACAGCAACCCGATATAATTATGTATTAATTCTCTAATGAGAATAATTAATACTAATTTTTTTTTTCCTGTCAGTTCCACCTTCAATTCCCAGACATTTGGGCATCCCATTAACCAAAATGCATATTTCAAAAATCCTATTTCAACAGAAGAGAGACCAATTCCTCAGGTATGCCAAATATAGCAGAGGTAAATGCTTATTTCTTGAATTGTAAATTCACCCTGGCTTTGTACACCCAGCTACCACCTATTTTTTAATGAATAATTACTTCATCAAAAATATATTCATCGTAGTAGTTGAGGCTAGAAAACTGCAGTTCAGCAAAATCTGTAGAACATGCCTAATTTGACATGTTCTGCAGTCAAGAGTTTGTTAGTACTTAAGCACGTGCTTAGGCTGGATGCGGTTATCATATTTCATAGCCTCAGGCCTCTCGGGAATGAGTAACTAACATTAATTAAGTAGCATAATAAGAACAGGTAACCAGTTTACCGAGAGGGAATTAGCTTTCACTCAGCACCTGTGACCTGAAAAGCAGGCTCAATAGGAGCAAAATGCTGAAGACTCGAATGGAAGAGTTCTGCGCTGTGAAGCTGGAACCTTTAACAAGTTCTTTATATGTTGCATCATAGCACAACTGAAATATCATTTGTATTCTTAATTTTAACTAAGTGACCACAAGACTATTAAAGTAATACTTACTAAAGTACTAGAGGGAGGGAATTTGTGGGGGAACAGGGAGAGAGGAAGGATTCTGTATTTTAACTTGGATAATAACCACAGAAACCCATTTTTGCCAAGCTGTAAGTCTTCTGATGTTTTTCCTCTCTGGACATAAGAAGTAATCATACGATTCTTTTTGAATGCAAACCATGGTTCACTCTATGATGTTTAATATTTAAATATATATATATTTACAATATTTATATCTATTTTATATTTATAGTAAATATTTAATAAAAACTAGTACATAATAAGTCATAAGAATTAAATAGTCTCAAAACTAAGCTGATAAAAATATCTTTGATATATGAAAACAAAGCAAAAGGCAAAATAAGTTAATGCCAGCCCTATGGAAGTTTTTATTCAGCTTGAAAATGATTCTTCACCTACAAAGGTTGAAAATAAATTAATGAGTCAATAATGTAATATGCAAAAGAAAGCTACTTTGTTCTCCATGCCAGTGGATTGGAGAGAGAAGAATGTTTAAGAAACAACAGAAACGGAAGACTGTTTTAGTGATGGTTGAGAAGCTAATGTTGTCTCCTGAAAGTCTACTTAATGCCAAACACATAGATAGGCCTGGAATTCACTGAAATCCTCACCATGCTTTTTGACCCTGCTTGAAGACCTTCAAGCAGAAATATTTGCTCAACAGACTAACAATATCAAAGACTTTTTCAGAGTCAGTTCAGTTCTTATATTAGGTAATGCAGAAGAAGAATATATTCTTAAAGATTGCTTAATAATGTAGGCCAGCTATGACACAGCATTATTACAAAATAGTTAAATATAGACATTTTCATAACTGTTTTTCCATTAAACTGTTTAGTTTCCCTTCAGTTAAATCTGCTAGTTTCTTTTTAACAAACACAGTTACAGATGATCATCATAGAAAAAATCTCACCATTTCAAGTTAAACCCAGAAAAGTAAAGTGGAATTAAGCGAGTCACTTCAAGTGGCACTTAAAATATTTTGCACCCTATTGCATATCACTCTAAACTGCAAGGATCCTGACTCCCATCCAGCATCAGAATTTAGAGATACAAAAGTAGCTCTAGCCACCAGCTCCTCACTTATAATACTTCCTACACTTCATCTAGAATACATCAACCCACCATGTTGGACATCTTTTTACATAAAATTGTACAGCAATTATGTCAATACAGGATGATAATTTAGATTCATACCCAAATCATCAAACTTAAGACCTTTGAAGATTATTCTTTAAGTTACATGACTTTTTACTGCTTAAGGAACAAATCACTTTGTCCACAGAAGATTTCCATTTCTAATTTATTTTATAAAATATGAGCTGAGAAGGCTTATTTAATTTCACTTGAACACTAAATAAGTTTTCGGAAATTTTTTAGCAACAAAAGAGCCTCCATTAAAAATACACATCTTTTTTTTATGCACACAGCTGGAAAAAAAGGCAGATAAATCATAAAAGCCTAGAGAAATCTAAATTTACAGTTGTGCTTGCTGATAAGTCTCTTCATATGCTTAAAGCTGAGTACAATTCACTTAAACCCCTACAGATAAAACTATGCTCGACAGGAAACTGCACCCTCTTTGTGGGAAGAATACATTATGACAAAATATTTCAGGAACAGGCTGTCAAGCTGGAGGATAACCTGGGAAGGGGTTCCAGAAGGGGAAAGAATACACTGCAGGGAGCTAAACTGGAGATAGGAGAAGGAAGTGGTTGCTGTAGGAGCTTGGAAATAAGAGTAAGGCTGGCAACATTCCCAGTAAGGGATGGGGCAGACAACAAAGGAAGGGAAAGCAGAAAGAAACAAGCAGCTGTAGGGAGCCACTCAACAGGTAAGTTTGAGAAGTGCTAGTTTGTGGAATTAACAGAACACTAGGAATTAGGAAAATTTAAGCTGCACATTAATACTGGCTCTTCTGAGTGTAAACGGACTACTTTAAGGGCGATTCTATTCTATCAGTGAAACTTGAACAATATAGTTCTTAAATTGTGTTCATCAGCCAGAAGATATGTCATCTTAGGAAGTGAGAAAACTTTTATCATTCTTAATATTATTATGCCTATGGGAGGGAAGGAAGGAAGGAGGGAGGGAAGGAAGGCGGGAAGGAAGGCGGGAAGGCGGGAAGGAAGGCAGGAAGGCAGGAAGGCAAGAAGGCAGGAAGGAAGGAAAACTGGGCTGACTACGAAACAATTTATCTTGCAGTGATTGCCAGGACCACGGATGCAATGTGAAACGTACTGCAAAAACTATGCAATGCTGCTGTACGCCAGACTATGGGAATTCTTACAGCTATTAACTCAGGAATTTGACTGTATACATCTTAATTCTTGATTTAAGTCACAATAATGATTTCATCAAGTCTCAAAAATTCTAGGGTATGTGGAAACTCACCTTACTGAATGACAACCTTGGCCTTTATGATTATTTAAACCACACATTCATGCACACACACACACA